TCGAAACACGTTACCATACCAGTTACTAACCAGTAAGGTTACTAAATCACATAAAAGTTATGGCAGGTAAATTTACTACTGCTAGATTGACTGATTTTGTTCTTCCATTCAACTGAGTTACAAAACTAACGACATCTTCTTGCACGCTGAAGAAAGCAACCACCCTCACCAATTCTCAGCAAATATTACTAACTTGATAGTTTTATAGAAATGGATGATGTTAATACGAGTGAATAAATCCAATATTCTGACCAAAGATACTCCTAAGAACAGAAGTTGTTAAGAAACTGCAGTAAGATGAGTAGGATAAACACAAGAGAAAACTTAAGCTGAAAACCATGTTTTATCAGCCGTTAAAGACAGATTTATGCAGTCGATGCCCATCTCACGCGAACCTTTTTTTCATTTGTCCACGGTAAGTCAGATTTTTGGATGCTGCTGCATTTCTTCTGAAAAACTCACCCATGTTCTTTGTGGTGCCATTACCCCTATGTCAAGTATTAACTCTCCTTTAAATAATAACAAAAATATCTAAGCTATCTCAAAGTGTGCTGACTTTGAAACCAGGCAACAATTCTTAGATTGTTATAAAAAAAATTAAAAAAAAAATAAAATCAAATAACCAACAGTGGCTGTTATTGAATTTTATTAAGATCCTTGGGACCACAGCCGTTTTAGGTAACAAAGGTACTGAATTTCCAAAGACACACAAAGCATCCGACAGTTTCTTTGTGCTCGCGCAGTAAGATGATGCCGTCTTTATTCCCTAGAGGAAACGTATCAAAGACAAGAGTACTCCAAAATTCTTCTCAATGTCCAAGTTTAGGTAAGCTGACCTCCCGTTTCCCCAAGGAAAAATCTTCCTCCGTCAGCAGATCAACTTCAGCTTCTCCTTGCCTAACACTCAGTGGACTTCTTAGAATCCACTTCTCCAACCCCCACAGCGGGAATGCAATTGCATGGAGCAGTGACTGGCTCTTCCACCCCTTCTTGGCTGTTCCCTGTACCACTGGTATCACCTGTACATCTCCCAGCCAAATCTTTAGTTTACCACCCATGTTGCTACCTCTCAACAACGAACCAGAGAAGAACACCTCCTCCTCCTCCTAATGAGCCTGGTGACCGAGGGCATCATAGGGAACACGGGAGACCCTGAACTACCTACAAGAAACCAGGAACTCAAATCCTTAACTCGTGACACCCCAAGTAAATGCCCTCACTGCTGGATTAAGGAATTTACCTCTGCCTCTCACCGTCTCCTCCTGGCGCTGCTTCAGCCTTCATCTATATGGCTAAATAACAACTGATCTGAGAAGAGCCACACTCAACGGACAGTGAATGAGACATTTATGCAAAATGTAGAAGAGAAAGATTAAAATTACTTTTCTAATCTACATTTACTTATTTACATTTATTTATTTATTTATAAAAAGTGGAAGAGCTTCAGTGCCACATTATAAGTGGAAAAGTCCCTCACACCCACAGGAGAGACTTGAACTTCAGCCTCTCACATGTTAGATGTCTGCTTCTGTCAAAAATCAGTATTTCCCAATGCAGAAAAGGTCTACTGTAATAAAACAACAAACCTATGCACTATTTACTTTGTTCTGTATTTATCGAAAATTGCCACCTTTTGTAAGTATCTTTATAATATCTGTTTATTTTAATTAAGCTTTTGTTACAGTCTTACTGCTTTATATTATCACATTTGCCTTTTTCATGCTTGTTTTTCTGAAGCAGGTCGTCTCCTACCATGTTTTAATGTATTTACACATATCTGTCTCTCACATTGTATACTTTTCTCCCTCCTCCTTTTCCTGCAATCTGTTCTCTATCTAGTTGCTTGTTTGTTCTCTTCTTCTTTCATATTTACAAATCTCTTTCACACTACCACGTCTGAAATTCTGAGTTAACACATTAATCTTACCTCTTTGCACAAAACCTTGTGAACTACTCCCAACACCTATCACACCAAAGACTGAAACTACAGAACAGAGTTTGATATAAAAGACGGAAGGAGAAGCATTACCTACAGGAACCACCCAGATGAAAAGGAAAAACACATTTCTAGCTACTTGAATTCCCACCAGGGTACTTCTCCTTGGACCTTTTCTCTCCAACGTGTATCAACGCCAAGCCACTACAAGCATGATAAATTTTAGGCCTTTACATAGCTCCCTTATTCCATACATGCTTTAAGTTCTTTTTTTTTTTTCCTCAAAAGTATTGTACCAGAGAGAAGTAGTTTCTTTTCTTCTCTTAACCCCCTGGTTAGGCGAGCAGCATCAGTTCATGCTGCTCAATCCACTGCCCACTGATAACTCCAGCTTTTGCATCCCAGTTTTCAGTTTTCCCAAGAAATGAACTTGAACTTGCTCGTGGTAGTCTCATCACTGTCCACAGAGAAAAGGAGCAGAGAAAAAAGTATGGTTTTCACCTACCTAGAGGGGTATTTTTTGTTTGTTTGTCTGTTTGGGTTTGTTTTAAGGATTGCAGAGGTGATATTTCTGAACCAGCTTCTGCTCAAAAGACATTTAAGCACTACTTTTGCAATTTTAGATTTTTTTCTTAAATGAAAACGTAGTCTCCAGCAAATGTTTTAAGCTACCTGCATATGTTTCACGCTCACAACAGACCAGTGGAATTTTCAAATCCTAGAACCTATCATCCACTTCAAATTCACATAGTTGATTAGGAAAAAAAATCCACGTTCTCCTGTAATATTATGCTTTGATAAGGTCTGCTGGTTTCATTCAAGGATGAGACCTCTTCTCAGAAGAAACACGGGAAGACCAAGGAAAATAATTCCTCACTTCAAACTGGCAATGTTGCATGAGGAGTCACCGCAATTTTTGTTCAGGCCATTTGTCATGTAGGCCAGTTATTTTCATCTCATAGGAGGCACAAGTGGCTAAACCAACTAGAGGTCTGAACACCAGAAAACTCAGAAAAGGATGAAATTTTCGTTATTCTTAACTAACGCTGAAGTCCTTATACTCACTAACATAATTTCCTCCATTGGAAGAGTAATTTACGTGATCTGTATGTGAAACAGACATGATACCAGCACCTCACTGTAAATCTGCATTCTCTTTTTAGTCGTAACATAATGATTCCAAATACCTTCAGTGGATTCATCTTGCACAAAATATTGCCTAGTCTAACCAGATACACATCCATTTCCTACTACAGCGATTACTGGACACAAAAAATAGCAGCACATTTAATACAGTACAGTTGAATATGATCTAGTCTTCACTTTGCCTGAAAAAAATCATTGCAAATAGTATGTGTTCTAAACATGTAGGACATTTACCAGAATTTTAAGAGGCACAGAATTGGAGAGTGGGTTTTACAGTAGCTGGAATTACTCAATTAAAGAGAACTACAAATTTAAAAACTGTGCTAAGTAAGAAGGAAGTCAAAAGATAAGAGCACAAAGTCTGATGTCCCAATGTGATCAAATATTTACTTTTTTTTAAAGATATTTTCTCCTCAAACTCTTTGGGCTTTTTTCCTGTGTTTTTTTGAAGAAGCATTCTAAATGCAGAAATACATGATCTATCTTTAAGGAAAATCACCATTTGAGGGAACAGAGGTCTGATCTCTGTCACACTGGCACAATCATCGCATAAAATAAATAAAAATTACAAAAGAAGAAAAGGAACCGTAACTCTCCTCTATTAGAAATACTCTCTTAAAGCTTATCTGTTAATTTAGGGACAGTATTCCAGTTTCAATGCTCAGCCTCTCATGTTAGCCAAGACAGCAGCATCTCTCGGAAAGAATGAAATGCATGCGTGTAAGCACTGCTACAAAAATTTAAGTAGCTACAGCTCTTTGGGTTTCTTGGGAAAGGTTTTGGAAGTTGCACTATAGAAATTAACCTCCCACACGGGACCTACCATACACCTATATTACACTCAATAACCCTGAAATGTTTTTTCTTCTGCCTGAGTCTTGATTTAAAATGAACAAAAACTTTATGTTAGAACAGGCAAGTGTCACTTTCACAAGACAAGGTTTCTTTTTCACACAAACTGTAGTCTGGTGCTTTGTTAGTGGATTACACAAAACGAAAATATTTAATGGCCAAATGTTTTAATACGCTTTCTTCCTTTGCATCATTAAAAAAAGATGCTTGAAGAGAACCATTTTCTGTACCTCTTACTTTAAAGCCAACTGCAAAAAGTTCAACTTCATTTAGCAAAGCGTGTAATAATCACAGCAACACCACTGATATTTAGAGTAGAACGTTAGCTTAACTTGATAAATATAATAAAAATAGTGAGTCTTAAATAGGTTTTTTCTAATGTTTAGTACAGGAAGTTTCGTTTAGGTAGCAGGATGCAAGAGATGAATTACACCTACAAAGTTCCAATGTTAAAAACATTACACAAATTATGCAGTCTCTCACACAGATGTAAATGTAACAAAATAGTGTCCATAAAATGTAAATGTTTTTTCCTGTCAAGTATTGATAGGTGAATCAGAACAAATCAGTATTCAGCGCAAAACTGAAAAAGACTGTGCCTCTAATAAATTCAGTACAAGCCTAGCAAAAAAGCCTGCTGTTATCATGAAAGCTCATGTTATCATGAGATTACAACAGACGCTGAGTGAGAATACGTACAAATTTAATGAAATGTAAAAGAAAACACTTCAAATCATAACAAATTTCTGTAGTGACTTCTATCGCATCTCATCGCCTGCTAAGGGCTCTTTTCACGTTAGCTGCCATATTAAACTACATGGCAGTGCCGCCACAACAACATGACATACAACTAAAAATTTTTTTAACGTAAGAGAATAACTTGGTTCCATTAGAAGAAACTTCTGAAAAATAACAAGCAAGTATTCCCACCACAAATAACATGATTATATAGGGAAATACTGAACGCTGTTTAACAAATTAAAACATCGCAGACTTGGAGCTCTTCATGCACAGGGACACACAAACACGTGGACACACAACTGCACGTACATGCACTTTCACCTACCTCAACAGCTCTCTTTATGTATGGTATCTGCGTGCCACTGTCCAGATCTTCATTAATTATAAGTCTCCTAGCCCACTGACCCGCCCTGACCACGCCGTTGCCATGAATTAGGACCAGCAGCTTGTCAGGATTCGTTAATGCATCTTCACTCATAAAGATAAAGCTCTTTGGTTCACTCTCAGCCGCATCAACCTGCAGTTACAGACAACACGCACTTTTATGCATCGATAAAATTTTTCAAAAGGACATCTGTAGTTATAAAATTAGCTGCCAAACTGATATAAAGATTTTCACCATCTAACAACTATTTGTATGCATATTGTAAAAGGTAATGTGTGCCCAGTACTCAATGAAAATAAAGCAAAGGCTAATATCTGTGCAACGTAACTTCAAAACATTAACACAGTTTAGAACAGTAATCCAAGGGAGATTTAAATCAAAAAAAGGGGTAAAAAGTATGTTAAAGCTTTGAAACATCAGTTGTTTACAGAAATTTACTGGCAAAAAAGAAAGTCCATAAAAGAACACTCTGGGGGCGAGGCGGGGGGAATCAAGTAATTTGTCACCTCTGATATGCCTGAAGTAACAATAAAATTCTGACATAACATGAAAAAGTCCTGGAGAGTTCCATCTCGGTCACCTCTACATAAATACCCAATAACCCATGCAGAAAACCAGTATTGTAAATTTGTCTATTATAAATTTAATGGGATAGGCCTAATAAAATATAGAAATCCAATTTGGGTCTATATAATGGCTTTATTAAGAGTCCTGCACCTGGGCCAACGCTCAGCTAATGTTCTGTACAAACAGACCAACAATCAGCTTTGATATTCAGTAAACCATAATCTAATTCCAAGTTCTGTCTGTAAAGAGAGTAAAGCAGCACTTTTTGTTCAATAAAACCAGAAGCTCTATAAAGCTGGTCTCCACTTGGTTTAGCAAACCTGGCTCAAGCCGTATAAGGACTGTGCTGGTGTAAACACCATGAGGGCAGAAAAAACCATCCCATCTTATTCCCTGCTCCAAAATGATGTAACGTCTCAATGTGTCTCAGCTCGCACTTTCTACACCAGGAAATGCCCTCACCTCCTCTCACGCTTGGTGTGAAAACAGAAAACATGGTAAAATGCATGTTCTATTGAAAAGAGTTTAGAATATCCAAGTACAACAGCTAGCACACTGGGGCTACAGTCAGATCACATTGCCGATCCTGAAGTAGCAGTATTCACACCTGAAAATTTAACATGGCTTAGGTAAAAAGCCACTCAACACTAAGCCCCAGATAGTGCTTTGCAAGTGTAATTGTCTTTTGCCCAGAAACTGAATACTTACAACACTGTAATTAAGACAAAACACTGTGAATTTGTATTTCAGACGAAGACATAACTTCGCTGAGCGTTTTAGTATTTACAAAATAAATTTTTGTTTTGTTTAGTATTTAGGAAATGGTAGCACTCAATAATCACACATACTAGAAGATATAACTAGTTCAAACTTCTGCAAATACATTAATTTTAAAAAGTTAAAAATACCCACCAAGATCATAAAAAATAATTCTTCATTCTCTTCCTCAAATTAATCACATTTGGAAACTTTTCTTCCAGCTAATTTATCTTCAAACAGCAGTAATTCATTAGATCAAGCTTTCACTAAAGAATGCACACAGAGGTCACTCCTGTGCACAACCTTACTTTATTGACAAATCAACGTAGAATACCATTTAGTGCTAGACACACTGAGTTTGCATAAAATAATTTATATTTATTAGCCACCTTCTCTTGTGGACCTACTCATGAACATTTGTTTCTGGTGCCTTATTTAAACACAAATCAAATAAATTCAGTAAAATGCTGAACTTCACTTTGTTTAATTTAACAATTTGATTCAACGTTGTTACTCACATGCAGTAACAATCTTCCAATGATCTGTAGCTAGGAATGTCAAACCAATCTAAATTCTGCTGATAACTTACTGTTTAAAAGTTTAGTTTACTTTTCCTCAGATTTATTTCTCCAACGCACAACCATACCTTAAGGTTTATGAATGCATGCAGTTATGGTGAATTCTCTGAGCTACGCACTCTACATAAGTTACGACGTTCTTAAGGTTTTCAAACTGTGAATTAAATTTTCCATACGAGTTCTGCCTCAAATGAGCTATCACCTAGTACAGGAGTACCAGTCTACAGAATACCTCAGCAGCACGCTAGTCCATATTTTCCACAGGTGCTATCAATATATGGGGTAAGATCAAACTATACTTGAAATCTAATCTTACTGACATTCGTGCTACCGCAGCAATATTGACTCCATTTTCAGTTCTCAGCCATGACCAATCCAATACACACGACATGTAGACTATGCTCTAGGGGTCTTTTGTTTTCTGCATTGGACGATTTTAAGATTGAACGTTAAATGTTTTAAAGGGGAAAAAAATCTGCTAGTATTTTTCTTATTCCAGTTAAAAAACACAACAAAAATTGTGAGTCTAGAGCCTACAAACAAGTGAAACAGGTGTCACTTGTGACTGGAGGAAGGAACGTAGCAAATAAATGGAACTGAAACTAAAAAGACTTAAAGAGATTGCAAGAATTGTGAGCAGCTGGTGGAGAGTGAAAACTGCTCATTTGCTTCGCAAGACAAGAAAGTCTTCTGTTATATGGTTTTACATAAAGCTCACTAACTCACAGCCTTCACAATATTGAATATCTCGCTTTATAATTCTTACTCAAAACTCTAAAAAACGAAAACTGCTGATCAATATCACAAGCAGTTAATTACCATTTGGTCATTACCACAGCCAACTCAACAAACCTACAATCAGTGAGCGAAATTTTTACAAAACAAGTACGGACTGGGCTTAGGTAACTAAATAGCCAAAAAGAAACATGCAGGGGAGGTAACAGACGACTGTTTCTCAAAGAAAACCAGTTCTTGGCTGTCCAGTAGATCAAGCGAACTACTGAATGAAGTTTTACCTATTGAAGTGAAAGAGCAAAGCACTGACAAGTTAGAAGATTCTGCAAAGAGAGACCTGTCGGTGCCATCACCAATAAAATATGTTAGTAATTATTTAAACTTCCAGCTCAAGCCTTCCCAGAAGCTGTTAAAGATGCACTTAATTCAGAAGCACCCTCTATTTGTCCTCAACAGCTAAAGAACAGCAAAGATCAATCACTGATTATGCCATTAAAACTAGAGAAATACAAAGACTTCATCTGGATAAAGAAATTGCAGTCTTCTTTATATTCATAATACAACCTTCAATGGAGCACAAAATGAGAAATTTAACAGAAATAATTGAACAGCTTCTCCCTGAATATGAATCTCTTCATTTAAATTTTCAAGTCCAGTAGCATACGTTGAACATTAAAGGAACTACAGTACTTTACAGTAACAATACTGCACTATGCACCTCAGCCTCCCTACATAGGAAAAAATGTTCAGATTTGTTTTGCCCGAGATGCTGATATAATAAAATAAGGGGTGAGCTTTCCTGATTTCCAAACTGTTCTTATTGTCATATCTGAAAAGAAATTTAGAAACAATTGTGTCTAAAACTGAAGCTGCCACCTGAGAAAGCGAAATGAACACAGCAAGTTGGACTTTGCACATGAGGTTGAAATTAAGAAAGATAAGAGAACATGAAATGCTGTCATTCTAAACCTTTGAAGCACAGCATTTTTGTACACTACTAGAATCATGCTGAAAAACGTACTCCACTTAACAGTCTTGAATCACGTCTCATTTATTCCAACGTCATTACACTGTCTATTTCATCATCAGCTGACATAAAAAGGAAGGCCAGTACACCAACTTTCTGACCATCTGTGATGCAGTTCAGGAGAAACATGTTTTTGTACTGACCTCTAAAATATTTATATAATACGGTTATATTCATAAGCAGAGCCAGCCCAAGGTCTGACAACTGGCGGATTGCTTAGGGGAACAGCGTGAGAGCAGCCTGGTTACACAGCGATTCTTCCCTGGTTTTGAAAACCAGTAGCCTTGGAGCATCCCGAGCCAGGGTTCATAACTGGACAAGGAGGCACAAGAGTTCAAGGTACCTATCCCATCTTAGTATTGTCAAACAGTTTTTTTGAATGCATTTATACCTTTCTTCTTGATAGCATTCTGCGGCACAGAGTTCCACAAAATAATTGGGACGTATATGAAATAGTACTGCCTCTCTCTCAGTAGAGATCTCCTGCCTGATAATTTAAACTTGATGCCCCTTAGCTCCCCTATTATGAAAAGAGTGAAAAACCATTCCCTATTCATCTTCTCTACACCTTTCATGACTCTATAGATTTGTCATATTCCTTCCTCAGTCATCTATTTTCCAAGCTGAAGAATCTTTGTCTAATGTTTCTTTGTCTGAAAAGCATTTCATGCCTGTGATCATCCTTGTAACCCTCCTCTGTATTTTTTTTTTTTAATTCTTCATATCCTTTTTGATACGGTGTCCAGACTCCATGCCGTGTTCAAGATGGGGGCCCACATAACGAGTGGAATGATGATGTTTTTCTGTTTTGTTCTCAACACCTCATAATTCCTAACATCCTATTTGCTTTGAGGGGTTTTGACTGCCATCGAGCACTAACTGATGTTCTCAGAGAACTACTCACAATCACTCCAAGCTCTTTCCTGAGTTGTAATAGCTCATTTAGAGGCCACCATTGTGTTTACAGAGTAAGTTATTTTCCCCACAATTTCCCATTTACCAGAACTGAATCTCATGTCGTTTTATCATCCAATCGTTCAGCATCATGAAATAATTCCCCAACTCATCACAATCAGCTTTAGATTTAAGTATTCTAAATAATTGTAGAAAAAACAGCAAAGGCTGTTGGCTTCTATTAATTCCTTTTTTCCTTTTATTTACAACTCTGTCAGTGCAGTCCTTAATAACACTGCACCAGCAAAAAATTATTTCATCTGTAAAACACGAACACGTTTTTTTCCCTTTTATCCAATTATTAACTCATAAGGGGACTCCCTCCTCCTATGCTTTTTAAAAGCATTTGGTTAGCTTCTTGACAGCTTGTTGGAAATCCACACAGTCTTTTACTGACAAGATCTTTCTTTTTCACATGATCTCTGACTCCTTCAATGAATACTAGCAGGTTTTTTAAAAAGAAAACCTGTACTGACTTTTCCCCCAATACATTATTTCCTCCTGATACACAGGAATCACTATGAAACTCTCCTGGAGGCCTTTCAAAGACTATCGCATTTACTCTTTTTCCATCTCTCTGATGAAAACAGCTGATTGCAGCAGTAAGTTACATACGAGTTGTTTGGTCTGCAGCTTCATATTTGACTTCTTACAGAACCCTGGGCTTAAAAACCATCTCATCATGGAATTTGATTATTGTACGATATATCAATTTGTCCTGAGATCTCCTCTACTGATATGCCGAATTTCAGACAGTCCCTGAGAATTACGTCTTGTTTAAAAAAATTTATATTCAAGTGTGGAAACTGGACAAATAATATTGGAAATAATCACGTTAGTTTTTCTTTTTTGAGCTGAGCATTCATTCTGCGTGCAGTTCATCTATCAGCTTCATCGGCCTTTCCTTTATTACTAGCCTTTACAACTGCAACAAGCTCCTCAAATTCAGTTTTGGGTGATCTTACTGTGATATGTCACTTGCCAGCATCTATATTCTTTCCTGTTTTCCTTACTTGCATGGGACTCACTCTTGGTACAAGCTTATTCTGTTAGTTTCCTCTACTAGTTTAAACTAGCGGTTTTCGTGCTGTTACTTGGGAGTCTGTCAGTGGTGATTTAAACATAGCCTTTAGACACCTTTAATTTTTCAGCTTCTACATGCATTGTTTCATAATTCTCATTTTTCTAGGCCTCTTCATAGTCTATTCTTGACTGTGGTGAGGGCTTCCTAGGCATAGTAGTCATTACTAAAGAACTAAAGAAGGGCTCATACCTTGTGCCAAAATTTTCCACACTGCTCACAACTCAACAGCTACATGTGTTTTGCGAGTTCTTACTTTGCTCCAAAATGCAATTAAATGATGACACTTTGCAGAAGCTGGAAGCAATACATTTGACAATAGTTTAAATGTACTACTGACAAACTGCATCAGTACATCAGTGCTTACTATGTCATTTATAAGTAAGAGTAAACACAGATTAATTCAACGGTGGGAGCTACACAGGGCCATTCGTCTCCTAAGCCAGACACCCAAATCTCAGAGCTGTGCAGACAAGTTCCCATCTGTGCGATGGAGGTGATGGAGGTGTTGTAATACTTCTTCTAGGTTTGTTCATCTTTATTTTTGGAAGTTAATATACCATGCTTGGCATCGCATTACTTACATGCATATTCCTTTCTCCATAGGACATTCAAGCGAAGTTCTACAGCCTCAACATTCAAGCACTTCAACGTTCATAAATGGCAGTCTTCGAACACATTACTTGTCTGGTACATGGAAGTACTCCTTGGACCAAATCTTCCCCAACAAATAAAACTAGTTGTGCAAAGACACTACAGCGACTGCGACCAGCACTGCACCAGGCAGGTTGCCACCACCAACCCAGCCCTCTCCTCTGTCTAGACAGGGGAACCTGAAGCGGATTGTTTCCACTCCATCTGAAGTGGAATGCTTTCTCAAGCCTCATGTTGTGTTAGGGGAGGTTTAGACTGGGCTGGGAAACCTCGAGTAGTTTGGGCAGCTTCTCACATTCTGACATTTCCTAAACACCACCACTAAGGGAATGGAAATGGGAACTGCGAAACATTATAGAAATGTTAAAATACAGGAAATTTTCCTTCCTTAGCCCGTATAGGTCTTCCTCAACTGAAGAAGAAGGACCAGCTGAGAACAACAGTAACGCAAAAGCTTCCCAAAGACCCCAAGAATCCTTGATGATAGTGATGGAAAACCTAGGCAGTGCTGTCGCACTACCATCTCCCTCATACTCGCCCTACAGAACATCATCACGGTACCACGTAGTCACAAACACTCTCACACGTGTTCTTTGGGGAATGCTTCATGACTTCCAAGGGCTGATCAAATGTGTTCACTAAACAACGGCAGCACCTTGTATTACACACACATTACAAGTTACTGTGTCTTAAAAGAAGGCTGACAGTAGTTTAGTGAAACTCAGTTTGAGTTTATTCCTCTGCTTCTAAAGGCACGTGTGCTCTCTACATCCAGCCGTAGAGGTCTCAGAACATTCACAAACACTTTTCAAAAAACTTAAGGTTTGCCACATTTTGGAAATTCTGGTATCTGGTGAGGAAAGCTCAGCTGGAGAAACGACACCCATAAAAGCGCGGTGGAACCACACCTCCAGCTGCACGCACGTGCTGCTTGCGCAGGCAGCGCACCGAGACAGCGCCCTGCACAGAGCCCTGGCACACCTCGTCTTCATCCGAACACCGGACCCCAGGCTCTGCTTTTTACAGATCCGAACAACCTCTTTGGAAACAAAAAAATTTACACTTACTGGGAGAGTTACTTTCTTCAAGTGGCATTCCTTTTGCAGTAGTTCATAAACGTATTTAGTAATGATCTGGGAGAAGGAGGAAAAGAAAAAAATTATCAAGAAATGCAAATATAAACCACTTACAGCACTGACATATCCAGGCAGACAACTTAAAGGCTAGCTGGTTACACTTCTACCTGCTTGTGTACGTTTTGCCACTTACCTGAATTCTTTACAACTAACTATAGGACTTGGGGCTTTATGCAAAATAAAAGTCCTCTCCGTCCCTCAGAAAACGTGGCTTTCCAGTACAAAGAAATTGTGACTGTACCTGCGAACCCATCACGTGCTGCTGTGTGAATAATTACATGCCTCAAAACTAAGGATCATAACCAATTAATATATACTCAGGGGTACAAGAAAGGCTCTCGTTTGCAAAGAAATACTTTGAAAGCATTTTTTCCACAAGCAGGACTCCTGAAACCCTCTCCCCTGCAGGTTCACTTCATGAGCTACATGGAGAGCAGATCTTTTAGTCACCCTCAGCACAAGTTGCCTTGCCATTTCTATTCACTGAACAGCGGAGGGATGGGTCAAAGGTTTCTAAACAGAAGAAAAACCCTGACTGATTCCCCACTATGGGGGAGTTTAAGTCTCTTGTCTCCATCTAGAAGTAAAATTGAAATTTTAGACCTGAAACAAAAGGAATTATTTCAAAGACCAACCATAAAAAAAAAACAACAATCTACCTAGTCGCAAGGAAAGACTTGCTGTCTCAAACGTAACAAAGTTGTTCACACTTCAAAGGCTTGCCTAACATCTAGGGAAGTTTTTTTTCACCCTTGCATATTCTAAGAAAAATGGAGATGCAGATGTAAGAACTTTCTAACTATTATTAATTTGGGAATTAAGCTGAGGAACAAACTAAAGTGCTTTGTCCATATGGGGCTGTAAAAACGGTTTGGAAGTAACTGCCTGGATTTCACTGGCTACAGGAGTTAAAAGGAAAAAAAAAAAGGCAAATTAAAGAGGAAAAAAAGTGCTCATTAAGGGCCTCAAATGGTGCTTGCCTTCCCTTTAAAGCTTGGGGAGCTATGTTTAAATTCCAGAGAGGACAAGATCTAAGCCCCAAAATATTAATCCAAGAATATCTGGGTACAAACCCAGCTGGTATTCTTTATTCCAACCCCTCAAGGCCACAATTACAGCCATCTGAACTCACAGCATATTAAGCCACAACAGAAATGTCGCTGTAACAAAGCTCTGAAGTGATGGCATCTTAACAACACACTATGAGCTGAGCAAGTAGGAGTCAGGGTGTCATAAACTTCAATTTTAATTTTCCAAACTCACCACTGCAAAATAAAGTTTCAATGAAGTCCAAAAGTTTTCATTATGTACACGTGAGCAAACACAATATGCAAACGTTTGGAACACATCTGAACAAATTAGAGGTACTGATGAAAGCTAATTAAAAATGCTGGCACGTGCCCCTCCCTTCCTTTCACAAAAACCCAAAATATTTATTAGGATTACGTGAATTCTTTGCTACCCTGCTCAAATATGTTTATTGATAGAATCATGTTCAAAAAACTTTACGGTTTTGAAGAAAATCGGTCTCACTGAACATTACTATCTACAGGGAAACTGCATTTGGAGAAGGAATTTAGCTGTGAGCGATGAGTTGATTTAAGACATGTTTATCCCCAAAGCAGTATGTTAGGAACATGCATGCAGTGTAATTTTACCTTCAGGGCCAAACTTTTTATGGTTCACCGAAATCAGCTTCGGTGTAATGCCAATAAGTAAAGCAGTTAAGTTCCTGCAGTCTCAGATGCTGGTGTTGTACAGGCATTAAAATGGGTATAACGATAATATGGCCTCAAACATAGAAATTTTATTTTTCACTCCAAATCCAGGCATCTACTAACCGTCAAAAACACTAAAATAATACTTGGAAGAGAAAAAAATTGCTGTGAAGAAAATATATTTTAGACACCACTTGTAAAAATCGACCCTTTTTTTCGCAGCTATGTGTTTGTATCCATTTCTTCTATTCTCTCTCATCTGTTTGGACTGACGTCTTCAGGGCAGAAGCAAACCTCTACTCATTTTTTCCACAGCCTGGTGCAACGGGGCTCTGATCCTGGCTCTACATGCACTACTCTAATATAATAAATAGTGATATCAGCCTTAAAAATGGGACTGTTAAATGAGTAGAGCACTCTGGTATAGCAACACTTAGCCTAATGAATGCTTTTAATAACAGTAAACACAAAGAATGATATAGTAGTTTGGAGTCTCGGATACAAAGTGTGATATTCTGATCCTTGGGTAGTTCAGCACCTGGATGGTCTCCATGGCCCAGACAGACCTGAGGAAAAGCTGCCGTCAACTGCCCCAGTCCACGTAAGACCACAAGACGGGTTTTTTGGGGAGCAGATCAGCAAGTTCAGGGATATCCTAGCAATGCCTGGTACACTGTCAGCTTTAAAGGATGGAAGGTGATACGCAAGAGTTCTTGAAATAGCATCAAAGCCCAAAATTTCCCAAGACTTGAAAACACCATCACAATGGCCAGGTTCCCTGCGCTTAGCATAGAATGTGCCTGGAAATCCTAGCAAAATCCTGTCCCACTCAGGAATATGGCTGCAAGTACTGAAAATGCTACAAACCCAACGTTACTTTTGGAATTTTATGCTTAAATTACTTCTTACGATTTTATGGCTGAACTGCATTTTAAAAAAACCCACCAACTTTTAAAATATGTTTTCTATAGGCATAAAAAAGAGAAGGGAACTGTGCTTTGTACAGGACTAGTTACACTTACTATTACAAAACTATACAATTCAAATAGCCACGACTTCTTTAAGCAGTAGTATCAGCTTGTCTATGCTGGTATGAGATCTGAAAACTGTTGCAGGATGTTGAAAAGTATCTTGTGACCTCTTGCATGAGAAGGTGAGTATGGTTGCACTCTGTGAACCCTCCTGGACTAATCACCGATCACATGGTTGCCCACGACCGCAAGTATTTAGTGACTGAGGCTGCTCAACCCAGTCAAGTGTTAATAACTCATCTGGAACCATCAAGCAAGAAATTGTCCATCATAACACATTCTCAAGGTAAACAGCAACATTTGCTAGAAAGCCCTACTTGTGTTATTTGTCCTAACCTGGGATATTTACGTTTTTTCTAAGGCTCTTGCAACTCGTAAGCAGTATGCTGCATTGTAATTCAACATATTAAGGTTGCTGGTGAGCAAGCAGCACCACGTCTGAGATGGGAAAGGAAAAAGAACTAATAGCAAGGCTTGCCCAAAGCGTGTGAAATTAATTGGCTGATGACTTGGGGATAAAATGGTAGTTCTGTACATCTTGTATGAGACACCAGAAACTTCAACCCCATTTTATACAGTGTGTCTGCTCTGCATTCACTTCCAAGTGCAGTCTACCAGGAAAACACATCCCAAACAGGCTAAGTCTCTATAAGCACTACCAAGGTGTTCTTACTGCCTGCTCTGAGAACCGGGGTAAAAAACCCAAACGCAAAACCAAAAACGTTCTATCCCTCTCATCACCTATTCCGACAGCAAGGGAGAGATCCCTTCCAACCACAAAAAGGTGCTTAGCTTAACACTTCTACACCCAAAAGGGTTTGTACCCAAACTGCGGGACAGGACAAACCTTCTTCCCAGCACAAAATGGTCCTTTTTGGAATGGAACTAAATGGAATGGAACTTCAGTTTACTCCAAGTGAGCTGAGGAGCCCGCGTCCTGCTTTCCATAAGCCTGAGGATCTTCTGCCCTAAATGAAGTCACAGCTTTTCCTACTTCTGTGGACTAGAAAGATTTCCAGAATGAAGGCAGGCTGATGCGAGCAGCGACCACAGCTGAGTGGAACATGTCCTGTATCATAAAAACAGTGGATTATCCTAGGCATATTAAAAATGCAAGCACCTAACCTCTGCCACCATTTCCTTGCTATGGTTTTCCTTCATGTACTGTGGACAAGCTTGAGAGCAGTAATACACATGTTCAAGACAGGAACCAAATTTTATTGCTCACAACTGCCCTTCTGAAGAGCTTAAAACAGTCAGTCTTCTGACTCACATTGGATATAACAGTGTGAATACCTCCAGAAGTACCTTTCCAAAGTGCCAGTGGCCCCACATATGACATCTGAGAGCTCACTAGTCTTAACGGTACATTGGGGGATAGACATGTGTCATGAACAGTGATCCTTCATATGGATCCAGAACACAACCTATTTTAATTACAGAGCAATTAAATTTGTTGACTTGGATGGGCAGCAAAAAGGATAGAGGCAGAGAAGACCACTGAAAGAAAAGAAAAACGCTTTATCTTCTCACAAAGCTGAGATTTTATCCTTGCACTGCTAAATATTCTGCACAACGGTGGCCAAGACTATAATGCTGCATGCAGTCTGCAGAGCAAAACTGAAACTCCAGGTGGAAACACAGTTCTGGTACGCAGAACTCCAGCACATGTTCATTGGTAAGGTCCTGGCTTCACACGACTTCTGCTCTTTTAAGGTTATATTGTTCACACAGAGGGCTTTTTTCTGGACTGTTTCCAATTACCAGAATGCATTGAATCACTCCGTTAGCAGCCTAATTTGCAAAATCTTCGCAACACACCATCCTGAAGCTACGCGATCAAACGATCAATACCTGCACACAACTATGTGGAAAGAGAAATTAAAGACTAAGAGTCACTGAGACCAACACATTTAAAGTTACAAGGATCGCGAAGGTCCTGAAGCCTAACATGACTCTAAGTGGAGACAAATACCAAAAAGGGACTCCTCAGTGCATCAAGCGTCGGAGGTCTTTATACAGCAAAAGTCTGGAAAAGAGGACAGCCAAAAGCATGCCCACAAAGCGAGGAGGCAATTCCAGAATAATTCAGTTTAAAATAAATATACCCCCTGCTTTAAGTCTGTAAGAAACTTGAAAGAAGCCTTATAACACGTATCAAAAACGTCAAGAACGAGCCTGGCACGTGTGAGTAAGAGCAGAACTGCAGCTGACCCACTGCTGAACTTTTTCATAACAGAGATAGCCA